ACTGATTAACCTTTTGTCCAGCTGCTACCGATTTTTAAGAACTATTACCTCTTTGTTCACATGAAAATTCGAACCCCCAGAGGATGGGATGGAGGTGTTTTGACCTATGCAGACTGTAATTCACACATGAGAGTATTTAAGGTCCTAATACATTTGAAAGATTTTTTGAAAAATTAATCCAATAAATTACAATTTATATGGAGCTGCATGTACAGTCAAACTTTGTTATCTCCAATCTGATTGGGCTGAGAAAGAACTTTGATATATCCTAGGATTTGTGATATTGAGGGTAAATTTACTTTAAAAATATGTGGTTGGGTCTTCCACATCACTTTGACATATCCATGGTATTCAAGATATCAGAGTTCGAGATACCAATGTTCAACTGTATTATCCACTATTGCAGCACCCCCCCCCCCCCAATACTCTAGGACAATTGAATAGAACAAATTTCAATGCACTACACTGTACTCAAGTCAAGGATGTTCGCATTTCAATTTATTCAATCATGGCCTTGATGTTCTTGAAGACATTTAAAGATTTTTTAATGTTTCTGTAAATGAAGATTTAAGGTTTTATAGTTTTTGCCCTGTCTATCTGTAGGTCTGTTTGGCAGCAAAAAAATTTACCTTGCCCTTAACTTGTGAGGGGGTGGAGCTATTGCTTCCATATTTCACAGGTGTATTCCTTGTGACAAGAACTTAAAGAACCATCAAAATTGACATCTTGTCCTTTTTGTACTTTAATTACAATTGAAAAAAATTACTAGAGGTAAGGGGCATAACTGATGCTATAATTATAAATATTGGATGAAATTTTAGTGCATTTTTCTTCCTAAACAGTTGAAGTTAAATAATTTGTCTTTTGTGAAATTTATAGATAAAGTAGTTAAACATTTAAATACCCAGTAAATATTGTGGTATACTGTTTAGAGTATAAGTTGAATTTCATATTTTTGGAGATTTGGAAATTACACAATATACAATTAAACTTGGCTATCTCGAATACCGATATGATTTTTAAACAACTCAGGTATTGCAATTATGTTGAGGTTAATGGCCATGGACTGAATGTATTATTAAAATCGGGTATCTCTAAAACCATTTATTTAACAGAATTTTTTTGGAATCCACAGGTTGTTGACATCCTTAAGAAAGTGTACAACACATTTACTCAAGAAATGAGGGAGGGAAAAGTCAAAAACATATCTAATCCTCTAAGGAGACTGTCAACTGCCACAGGTATTTAGAAGTGATTACAGTAAAGCACATCTTTAACAATATGCCAGAAACATACAATTTTGCTTTGTTACAAGTGTAATTCATTATATCCAGTAAGTGTTCAATACTTTTTAAAGTCAAGAATGAATATAATTTTGTTTTAAGCATGTTTTATAAGTGTGTTTAGCTGTGTCATATATAAATCATATTACAAAAAAATGTTTTGATGAGCAAATTGCAATTTTGTTAAAGGGGGGGGGGGGGTCATTAGATCAATTTATAAGTTTTTTATAATGATGTTAAACTGTTAATTAGCTTGATGGATACATCCGCTATATTCATATTCAAATACTTTTGCTCTAAAAAAAAATTAACATAATATTTGCAATCCATCCTCTTACATATGAGGTACATGAATGCTTTACATAATTTAGGAATATCAGAAAGAAATCTTAAGACATGGATTTTGCCGGATGCAGTACACGAAGTGGTTGAGGATCTGCAAGTTCCTCCTGTAGAGCAGAAGATCCACTCCAATAAGGGGCTCGATGACTTCGATGAGGACCTGGTAAAAAGGACCATCCATGAGATGCAGCTGAGGGGCGAGTATGTTTCTCTCCGTCGACTGTCAGGTGTGTTGGTAGAAAGGGGAATCAGGATCACCAAGTCATCTCTGGCAAGACTCGTGAAGAAACTTGGATTCAGGTAAAGTACTCTAGAGGCAAACAATTGGTTTTAATAAGGGACAAGTCGATCTGGAACGCATTGAAATACATTCATAGACATCAAATAAAAAACGATGGAAAAAATCGCAATCTGCAGGGTAAAAGCTGAAACTAAAATGAAAAAACCCGAACGGGTTTAAACTTAGCAAGTACAAAAGACTGCCTGAAACTTGTACTTAGGACTTGCCTAAAGTACTGTAAAAATTCACAATATTTTAGTAATCAACTAATACCGAAACAAACTAATTGGCAGACATTCTTCCAACGAATTTACTTCACAGAAAAAGGATAAATCTGGAATGCTTTAAAATACATTCCTAGATATCAAATAAAAAACGATGGAAAAAATCGCCATCTGCATGGTAAAAGCCGAAACTAAAATGAAAAAACCCAAATGGGTTGAAACTTGGCAAGTACAAAAAAACTGCCTGAAACTTGTACTTAGGATCTGCCTAAAGTACTGTAAAAATTAAACTAACAACAAAACAATCAAATTTGCTGATACTTTTTCCAACCGAATTTTCTTCACAGAAAAAGGATAAATCTGTTATAACACTATTAGACATCCTAAATGCCTATCGTACTGTTAAAATAACAAAATGTTGCATAATTTCAAAGAATATCTATCTGAAAAATTGACGAACAATAAAAGTAACAAAATGGTGACAAACTTTTATGACTTAGATGTATATCTATTTTTTTCGCTGAAATTAAAGCTCCCCTTATACTCCTATATAAATGAACATTCCCCTGACTGTTCAGATGAACTCCGTCGTGAACAAATTTACGACTGCAGTCTCCTTCACGGGGAGAAACGAAATAATTCCCATGTTCCCAAAATACTCAGTAACCCAGTGCTGGCAATGCATCTCTCAACATTGCGTTTACTTTGTCTGCAATATTATTGTACCCAAAACGAACACCAAATCGTGGCAATAATTTACAAACAACTATTTTTGCAACTTTATAGCGGTGATGCATTACCGATACCACAGATTCAATTTCTGCAGCTAACAAGGTAGCGTCGGTACTAGGACTAATATCGTTCTCCCCAATCATTAGAACAACTACATCTGGACCTAAAGCAAACACGCTCTCCATATCCTTAGATATTACATCACGAACCTTTCTTCCACCCACACCCCTGTAAAAGACGGAATGCGTTTCTCCAAGACCAAGGCTCGCAGAATACCTAATGTCACCATATTTCAAGAATTCATGAAAACGACGCACAATTGAATGTCCAAGAATGACAACTGAAGTTTTACTCATAGAAGACATAATGAAATAATTTTACTCACCAAAATCTTGATAAAATAAATAACAAACTTTGAAACAACGTCCGTCCTCCAAGGATGTAGATGGGAGAAAAGGCAGAGTAACGCACCGCATGGTCAGAATTTCATTTGTTAGATTTTGATTGGTCAGATTTTGATTGGTCAATCTCTGCCTCTCCTACCACGGTAAGACATGGAACAAAATTACCATTACAAAGCACAGCTATACAGTATTTCAGACTTTCACATTCAAGGAGGACACTTACTGATTACAATAAAAATTTTTAAGTAAACTTAAATTTATATACAAATCAATTTTATCAAAAAATTTATATACAAATCAATTTATCTTAGAGCAAAAACAAATCAATTCGTGTTACAAAGAGACATTTGCATGCAATAAAAAGAGAATTTTAACAAGAGGCCCAGGGGCCACAGCGCTCACCTGAGCACATCAGGCTTGAATTTATCCCCCCCCTCCAGGCGTTCATCATTTGAACAAATTAGAATCTACACTACCTGAGGATGATTCCATATAAATATCACTAATCATAGCTTTGAAGTACTTGAAAAGAAGATTTTAAAAGGTTTCCCTATATATCCCTATTATGTAAAACTTGGGTCGGCCATTTTGGCCCCACTTTTGGCCCGGGGGTCATGATTTGAACAAACTTGAATCTACACTACCTGAGGATGATTCCACATGAGTTTCATCTTTCCTGGCCCAGTGGTTCTGGAGAAGAAGATTTTTAAAGATTTTTCCTATATATTCCTAAGTAAAACTTGGGTCGGCCATTTTGGCCACACCCTTGCCCCGGGGGTCATGATTTGAACAAGCTTGAATCTACACTACCTGAGGATGATTCCACATGAGTTTCATCTTTTCTGGCCCAGTGGTTCTGGAGAAGATGATTTTTAAAGATGTTTCCTATATATTTCTATGTAAAACTTGGGTCGGCCATTTTGGCCCCATCCTTGCCCCGGGGGTCATGATTTGAACAAACTTAAATCTACACTATCTGAGGATGATTCCACGTGAGTTTCATCTTTCTTTGGCCAGTGGTTCTGGAGAAGAAGATTTTTAAAGATTTTTCCTATATATTCCTATGTAAAACTTGGATCGGCCATTTTGGCCCCACCCTTGCCCCGGGGGGTCATGATTTGAATAAACTTGAATCTACACTACCTGAGGATGATTCCACATGATTTCATCTTTCCTGGCTCAGTGGTACTGGAGAAGAAGATTTTTAAAGATGTTTCCTATATATTTCTATGTAAAACTTGGGTCGGCCATTTTGGCCCCACCCTTGCCCCGGGGGTCATGATTTGAATAAACTTGAATCTACACTACCTGAGGATGATTCCACATGATTTCATCTTTCCTGGCCCAGTGGTTCTCGAGAAGAAGATTTTTTAAAAATGCCATTAATTTTTAACATATTCATGATTATCTCCACTTGGAAAAGGGCGTGGCCCTTCATTTGAACAAACTTGAATCCCCTTCATTCAAGGATACTTTGTGGCAAGTTTGGTTGAAATTGGCCCAGTGGTTCTTGAGAAGAAGATGAAAATGTGAAAAGTTTACAACGACGACGACGACAACAACAACAACGACAACGACAGACGACGGACAAATTTTGATCAGAAAAGCTCACTTGAGCCTTCGGCTCAGGTGAGCTAAAAATCTTTTATTTCTAAAAATGTTATTCTTTTTTTTCAGATTCTACAAATCTGGTTCAGATCGGAGGTTTATTGGTGAGCGTAATGACATCGTCAGTATGCGCCATACTTACCTGAGGTCCATCCGAAACTTTAGAGAGGCGGGTCGTCCTATTGTGTACTTGGATGAGACTTGGCTGAACACCAATCATGTAGCGAGGGGAGATTGGGTGGACTATCCTAGGACTTCTACCTCTGCCTTTGAGTCACACCGTGAAGGTCATGGGCGCTTCGTCCCACCTGGGAAGGGGTCTCGTCTGATAATTGTGGATGCTGGTTCTTCGGCTGTAGGCATGATCCCGGGATCAAGCCTAGTTTTTGAGTCGAAAACTGGCACTCAGGATTATCATGATGAGATGAACTCAGGAAACTTCACGAGGTGGTTCACTGAGCAGTTGCTCCCTAACCTACCGGGTAATTCAGTCATCGTGATGGATAATGCTTCCTATCACAGTCATCTGGATCCTGAGTCTAAGTGTCCGACATCGTCGGCGCGAAAGGCCGAGATCCAGTCTTGGCTTGATAGAAAGGGTATTCATTACACCCCGGCAATGATCAAGGCTGAATTACTCACGTTGGTGAAGCAGCATAAGCCTCGTCCGAAGTATGTGATTGACGATTTGGCTTCACAGGCAGGTCACACAGTTTTGCGTCTACCTCCTTATCACTGTGAGCTAAATCCCATCGAGCTGGTCTGGGCTGAATTGAAAAGCTTCGTCGCCAGGAGCAACGCCACGTTTAAGAAAGACAAAGTGATGGAGCTATTCAATCAAGCAAGATCAGCTTACGATGTGGAGAAGTGGAGGAGGGTCGAGAGCCACGTGATAAATGAGGTAGAGACAAAACTGTGGAAACTTGACGGAGTTCAGGATGACGAGGTCGCTCCGGTGATCATTGACTTGACGGACTCCAAGGACAGTGACAGTGACTTAGACTCAGATTTTGGTGATGACGAAAGTGACGCTGACTCTGACGTTTCCATGAACTCCGCCAAGGAATCTGATGATGAAGTCACTTGTTGCATATGTGGTGACTATAATGCTCCTGGACGGTCACGAAAGATTGCGTGGGTGAAGTGTGAGTTGTGTAAGAGGTGGAGTCACCGCATATGCACCAAGCCCTCTCTAAAGTCAGGTAAGTGCCTCCGATGTTGGAACAGTTTGTACGGATTGAATCCGCTTTCTTCATGAGTCTTCCTCTGATGATTGGTGAACTGTTCCTCTTTAAAGGTAAAAGAAAGATTATTAATCATTGATGCATGTATCAGCTGGTGATTAAAAAATATGTTGTGATATTTTGAAATACTTAAATATGTATTTGAGATTAGTAAGCCTTTGCAATAAACCATGTTTCAGTGAAATTTTTACTATAAAATGTAAATTTATTGATGCAAGGCAAGAGATAATTTAATATACGAATAGATGAAGGACAAGAAAAGTACTTATTTAAATTTGAATACGTTGTATTCATTACTTGATAAAGCTGCAAACAAACTTCTTCAACCAGTCTTCCTCACTGTCAAATCTGTGTCAGAAAATATTCAAATTTAAAATTTAAATGTTTTCAGACAGCATTTGCTTTTAATGAATAATACAGCATAAAAATGTACCTATACTGATTATTTTGAAACTATAGATATATCTAAAAGCCCAACCCAACTAAAAATTAAAAAGTCCAAATAAATGAAATATAATGTTAATATTTCATTCTTTACATATTATAAGCCCATGTCTGTCTCTATTTGTCCCGCCCTGCATGTGAGTTTTTTTAAAGCACACCAGAAGTTTTATGTTTAAAGAGAATATTTCTACTATTTGTAGTTTTGTCTGGGACAAAAAAATTTATAATGTAAATATATAGATATTAAGTGAAAATTGGATTGAAACTTGTCTTTTTCCAAGGGCAATAACTTTTGTGAATAGGTCGATCACTGTAAAACTGTAACTACTGGTAGGTTAAATATTAGCTCATTATCTACACACATAAGAGAAAAAGACTACAAAAATAACTATGACAGAATTACAATGACAAAATGAGAGACATATATGAAAGTACAATAGTAAACACAATCTGCTCCATTCATTTCTTTGTGGCTATGGCAAAAAAGTCCTAAGGCTTTTATTTCATGTTATCTAGTTTAGAGATATGGTAAACAGTTTAATTAATATAAATTAACTGGTAAATCTATGATACATGCATTGTTAAATGATTAATTGTCTTTCAAAAGGTGGGACTGTGTGTAACTAATCTTTATATGCCCCCCTTCATTGCTACTGTCTGTCGGTTGGTCTGTCAGTCCACCAAGCTTCCGTTCATTATCTTCACAACTGTTGCAGTTACTGAAATGATCTAAATTTGGTATACAGATTTATCATAAGAATATCTAAGACAAGTTCTGTTTTGGGTACTACATGTATCACTGAAAGTAATGAATATACTTCTTGGTTTGAACTCCCGTTTGCAGATCCATGCAAACTGAAATCTACACTTTATGAGAATGCTTGTATATGAATTACAATATTTGTCCCCTTGCTGTTTCAAAAATGATTTCAAACTTACTTTTTTAATATACAGACTTGTAATAAATTTCATTCTCATTTTCTTATTGAGTTAATGAACTGCAAAAGGAGAAAAGGACATAGGTAAAGAAATTATTATATTTCATAGTATGTGTATGCTTTAACTCTACCTTTGAGTATGGAATTGAAAAGTATATTACATGATTAGTTACACACAATGCCCCCTACCGAACCAACAAACCTGACTTTAGATGAGTGAAGCTGCTTCCCCTCCTCTGTATCTCCTGCATGTTAACTTTTCACAGGCCAGCATTTAGTCTCAGTTCCTTATTGTGGTCCATTTCTCCTCTACAATTGGGACTTGCATGATAAATATATTTTTCATTTCTTGTTATCATTATTATACTTTGTAAAATTCAATCAACTGTTAAAAAAATAATGTACAAGTTTCAGTGGTTTAAATTCATCGGTAATTTTAATATTGAAACATTTCTTTATTCAAGCATAAATATATAGATAATTCCTGTTGTACTTGGATAAAATCTGATTTGATATATGCTGTTATCTAACTTATATACATATAATCAATTGCAAGGAAAGTTATACAAATCTACAATTTCATTGGTTTTAATTAATTGATCAATGTACAGTAAAACTGGTACTAATTCTTAATACAATTTATTTAACTGAAACAAAAAGATATAAAATTACTACTGTAGTTTTATTTCTGCATCATAAATTTACTGTGATAATTAAATGTGTTGTGATATATTTATCATGTTTTTGTTAAATTGTATATAGTATAATTTCAAGCATATATATTATGCATCATAAATTTACTGTGATAGAATGTGTTGTGATATATTTATTATGTTGTTGTTAAATTGTATATACAAGTACTTATTTCAAAAATATGAACTATATGAATTTATGATAAATATAAAAACTTCTGTTGTAATTAATTAATTAGATTTATATATTTTTCCTGTCTTTAATGTATTCATTCTACATACTAGCTTTGATAAAAATTTTGCTATTTTCTCCTGCAATCTACATCTACATGTATTTTCAATCTTTTTCTTCTTTGTGATAAGTACTTGGCTGTTCAACAATTTTTTTCACTTATCTACTCATAATAATTCACTGCAATTAATCTATTCATTTTATATGAAAATAGCAGTATTCTTACATTTAAATTGTAATTGCTATTCAATGAAATTGTTTAAGTGAAATGTTTGAATTGTAAGATGTTTTCACACAGAGATGTAATTGTTATTTACATATGCAATGCATTTTTACTCAAAATTCTTATAAAGTTTTCTGTATATGACTGTCTGTTTGCATTATGGTTTTATCATGTAATACTTAAGGTTCTTTCAACCAAACATTGAATGTGTACAAAGGTGGTGTGAAATGTGTTGGATAGTGATGCAGAGCACATGTAACACACAAGATGGCTGAATCCGAACTACTTTATTGGATTATTGCGCAATGTAATTAAGCATCAAATTATAAGCAAAAACCAATTACGTAAGATATTACAAATCCGGAAAAAGATATAACATATCCTCCCTCCTCAATGTCAATGTCTGTAACATCTGCAAATGTCCTAATCAACTTAATCAAATGTAAATCAAAATTAATTAAGAATCAAACTTATAATTGACTTTTAACATAAAGAATTCAAATTCATGCAATTACAATTATTCATATGGTGAGGATTATTATGCCTCAAAACACATTTAACACAAATAAAGATCACTCGGCAATCAATCGCTTTGTTGGTTTTCGGTCGCGCACAGGGTAACGTCGTTCACAAGGTGGTGGTGTCTGTGTAACAATCTGTTTTGGTACGACATGAGGTTTGCCTCCAGTTGAACGGTCTGCGCAAGGTATGTTACGATTGGTACTTTGTGTTGCACGACTTGGAATTGCCGGTGTCACAGGTGAAATGGTATCGTTTGTAGGTGGTGCAGCGTATATCTCATTCGGAACTACTGACTTAGAATCTAAAGTGTCCGTAACTGTTCTTTCTCTCATGTTTTCTGATGTTCTCCTCATTTGATCTATGTGCCGACGCCACACTCCTCCTTCCTCGGTTTTGACCTGGTAAGTCAACGGTCCTAGACTGGCTATAACAGTGGCATGAATCCATGGTGTTTGTCCCCTGTAGTCTCGTACCATGACGGATTGTCCAATGGTAAATATGCGCACGCTGGATCCTGTATGTCTTGATAATTTCATGTCCTGCTTCAGATTTACTCTGTCACTGATGTCAGGTTTCAAGAGATCCAAACGTGTCCTTAGGTTACGTCCGATGAGTAATTTGGCAGGTGTCTCCCCTGTAGTAGCGTGGGGGGTAATGCGATAAGTCATTAGGAATGAATTGATTTCCTTGTTAGTGATTTTATTATGCTTCTTCATGGCAGTTTTGAAACTCCTAACAAAGCGTTCCGCAAGCCCATTCGTACGCGGGTGGTAAGGTGAAGATGTCACATGCTTCACTCCGTTTTGTCGTAGGAAACCCTTGAATTCATCTGCAATTAATTGTGGTCCGTTGTCAGAAACTAATGTCTTAGGTAGTCCGAGACGTGAGAAGATATCTCGTAAAACGTTGACTGTTGCTGTAGATGTTGTTGAAGACATAGGCACAACTTCCGGCCACTTTGAATGAGAGTCAACAACAATGAAGTACATGCGTCCTTTAAAAGGTCCAGCAAAGTCGACATGAATTCTCTCCCATGGTGAATATGTCCATTCCCAAGGGTGTACAGGAGCAGTCTCGGGGTTTGGTAAGTAATGTTGACAATCGGAACAGCTCTGACACATAGCCTCAATATCAATATCGATGTTTGGCCACCAAACATGAGATCTAGCGAGACTCTTTGTCCTCACAATCCCTGTGTGACTTCTATGAAGTTCAGACAAAACTTCTTTTTGTAGTGCTGCAGGAATGATTACTCTGTTTCCCCAAAGTAGACAATTTTGGTGCACTGTGAGTTCCATATGTCTATTTCTGTAAGGTTTGAATTCATTTCCCGAGGGAAAGTCCCGTGTACCTTGTAACACAATGTCAAGCACCTGAGATAAAATAGGATCACGTTGAGTCTCTTTTCTCACATGGTCACACGATACAGGTAAGTTTTCAAACTGTGATGAGTAGTAGATTGTGTCGATATCCTCATCTGTGGTATCCGTATCGGTTATCGATGAAGTCAGCGGAAGTCTGGAAAGTCCGTCAGCGTTTCCATGGTTAGCTGTCTTCCGGTACTCTATACTGTAATTATGGCTAGATAGGAATATAGCATATCACTGGAGTCTAGCAGTAGTCATGGCGGGTAGTGATTTTTCTGGGTGAAAAATACTAACAAGCGGCTTATGGTCTGTAATCAGCGTAAACCGGCGTCCATAGAGGTAGGTATGGAATTTTTGTACTCCCCAGTATATGCCTAATGCCTCCTTATCTATCTGGGAATATCCCTTCTCTGCCTTTGTCAACGAGCGAGAAGCAAATGGGACGTTCAGCTCCATCCTCAAAGACATGTGAAAGTACGGCACCAATTCCGTATGGCGATGCATCCGTAGCCAAACGAACAGGTAATGAAGGGTTGTAATGGCACAAAACTTGTTCTGATGTGATAAGTTCTTTCACTTTCACAAACGACTCTTCACATTTGGATGTCCATGTCCACTTCCTGTTGTTCTGTAATAACTCATTTAGCGGTCCAACCACTGTAGCAAGGTTTGGCAGAAACCTATGATAGTAATTCAACAGGCCCAAGAATGAGCGCAGTTGAGACACATTTTCAGGTTTTGGTGCATTCTTGACAGCATTTATTTTGTCACTGGATTTATGTAAACCATCTTTGTCTATTACATGTCCACAGTAACTTATTTTGTCCTTAAAGAATTCACACTTCTCCAGATTTGCCCTTAGACCGTGTTGTTCGAGTCTCTCGAGCACAAGACTGAGATTCTGTAAGTGTTCTTCATCTGTCGAGCCTGTAATAATCATGTCGTCCAAAATGCATTTAGTTTTTGGAATGTTTGCAAGGACTTGGTCCATGGCTCTTTGCCAGATGGCAGGAGCGGATGGGATTCCGAAGGGAAGTCGGTTAAAGCGGAAAAGTCCCTTATGTGTGTTAATGGTAAGCAAGTTCTTGGATGTGTCATCCACTTCCATCTGTAAGTACGCCTGCGTTAAGTCAATCTTGCTAAATTTCTGTCCTCCGCTAAGGGACGCAAAGATATCTGCTATCTTTGGTAATGGATATTGTTCGATTTTCAAGGCAGGATTAACTGTCACTTTGTAATCACCACAAATTCTCACTTTGCCGTTTGCCTTAGGTAGGGGTACTATTGGGGTTGCCCAATCACTAAATTCGATAGGTGAGATGACGCCTTCCTGCTGTAATCTGTTGAGTTCCTCTTCCACCCGAGGTCTGAGGGAATATGCCACTTCTCTGGCCTTGTAAAATTTTGGTCTCACCCCATCCTGCATTGTAAGTTTTCCTTTGATGTCCGACAGTTTTCCGATTCCTGGTTCAAACACCTTCTTATGTTTCTCCAGAATTTCCTGAACAGTCATTCTCCCGGAAATTTTCTGTTTGTCACTCGATAATCTAATTGATTTGATTTCCTTCCAATCAAGTCGTAGAAATTTCATCCAGTTTCGTCCCATGAGTGTTGGTCCTTCCTGCTTCACCACAAGTAAGTCCAAAGTTTCACTCTGTCCATTCAAATCGACCTTGACCTGCACTTTACCAACTGGACGGATCTGCTCCCCACTGTAAGTCTTTAAACGAGTATCTGTATCCTCTAGGGTGTATGACTTGAGGAATTTGTCCAACGTAGTCTTAGAGATGATCGACACAGCAGACCCTGTGTCAACTTCCATAGGAATGTCAGATCCTGCAATTTTCGGAGTCACGATGATGGGGTCTATCGAGACCTTGTTCACATCTCTGTAGTAGCTTGAGAAATGCAACAGATAACCACCATTTTCTTCATAGTTGTCGATTCCGTACTCATCTGTATCAACGTAATTCAGTTTTCCCCCGTTTTCACGCTTCTTCTTAAGACACACTCTCTCCAAATGTCCGACTTTTGAACAATATCTACATTTTGTGTTTGTGTGTTTACAGTCATTTGCTCTGTGTTCCCCTCCGCATCTGTAACATTTTCCCTGTACTGGTTTGGGTAGTGGTCTTGGTTTCATTTTACCATAGTTCGTTTTCTTTGTTTTATTCACAGAAAGTTTATTGACACTTTCACGCTTTCCCTGTAATTCTAGTGCGTCGCGACTAGCTGTTTCCATGGCGACAGCTGTCTGATTGGCTTTTTCTAAATCCAACTGTGATTCGGCAAGCAGTCGTTTCTGGATGTGTTCCTGCTTTAAGCCACATACAAATCTGTCTCTCAAAGTCTTACTTAACGAATCCCCGAAATTACAATGTATCGCTAAACGACGTAATTCTGCCATGTAAACAGTCACGCTCTCCCCTGCAGCCTGATCACGTTTATGAAAACGAAAACGTTCAGCAATTTCTGAGGGTTTGGGACTTAAATGTGCTGTAAGTTTCTGAATGAGTTCGGCAAATGTCATTGTAGAGGGCTTTGTGGATGCACATAAATTTTTCAACAATGTGTAGTATTTGGGCCCGATGATAGAAAGAAGTAAGGGTACCTTCAGATCCTCGTTCACATCGTTTGCAATAAAATACTGGCCCAGACGTTCTGTATACGACTCCCACGTTTCCAACGATTCGTCGTAAGGTCCCACCTTTCCGATGATCAATGCCATGGCTCATTGATGCTTCCGTTTTACTCCTCGTCGCCAATTTGTTGGATAGTGATGCAGAGCACATGTAACACACAAGATGGCTGAATCCGAACTACTTTATTGGATTATTGCGCAATGTAATTAAGCATCAAATTATAAGCAAAAACCAATTACGTAAGATATTACAAATCCGGAAAAAGATATAACAAAATGAACTGCAACAAAGTAACATTTTGTAGTCTAGCATAATTAGCAGTAATTTACTGCAATATGTGAAAATAATTGTTACAAATCTAGACTACAATAGCAAAATGTGGTAAAGCATATACATATACCTACATGGGGCCATGAATATGATAACAGAGGTTTACAATATTCAGTACACATTTCATTGTTGGTTTACATGATAATGGAGTCACTGGCACGACAGAGATGTCTGTAAACTTCCGTCTTTGTGGCATAGTCAAATGTTTACATACAGTCCAAGTAAGCAATTTAATTTTTTTTTAAAATATCTTATTTCTATGTTTGATTTACCAGTATAGCAATTAGTTTCTGTGTGCAAAATATTTAAGGAGAATTTCAATGCTAGGCTGATTAACTCGTTAACTTAAGTCCTGAGTTTTTTTTTTATAATGTATTCTTAATTCATTATCATGATTTTTGTATAAAAAAATATTTGGCAATTCACGATATTAACTTTATTGCAAGGTAAAAAATAATTGTTTGTAGACATTTAAATAATTAGCTGAGACTGTTTATAAACTACATATAATGTATGTACGATGTTTTCTTAATTGTAAAATAAATTATTTACTGTTATTCCATACCATATTTTGTTTTGTTTTTTATTATTGAAATCCTTAGACAATGTGCTATGCATAACTCAGTAATGTGGTGTCCAGTGATTGACATGTTACAGGGACTGACAAATAGATTTTTAACAGTGTTTAAGGCACCTGTCCAAGGGAAAGAACATGGTTAAAATTTACTTGCCCTAACTGAATTTTTGCTTGTTCTACCAAAAACTAATATTGTACTACCGGTATTTATGAATTTAATAAAAAAAAAAAGGGAAAACAAATACTGCATGGGTAGACCATTCAAGTCCCTATGCCCAGCTTTGTGGCTTAAATACTGATTTTATTTTTAATAAGTTTAATAAGTTACTTGCCCATCCCTAAAATTCACTAGCATTGGGTGTCGGGCAATGGGATTTGTCATCCCCTGTGCTACAAAAACCATGTGTCAAATTAGCAAAGAATCATCATCTCTTTCAAGCAAGGAAAAGTTTAAACCTGAGACATAGCTATGAGCCTATGACCAAGTGTTTTATGTATCAGACCAATAAATTATTACTGCCAGGCCATCTTTAAAATAATGTTTGTTTGCCCCCCCCCCCCCACACTGAATCAAGGTAAAATTATTGGTCCAATGGATAGGTGGGAAAAATTTTTTTTCTCCATAAAATTTCAACAAATTCGTTGGTGGGATAAAGGGAATAAAAAGAAGAAAAAAATAAATGCCCTGAAATTTGAAAAAAAAAAAGGTTTTGAGTTGGGGCATTTTTGGTCGAGAGAGGGCAACTAAACAATATTTTAAGATGGCCTCATATATCATATTAAAACATATAAAAGACAATTACAGCATGGAAATATTAACAGATGAATTATTATTACAATTGAGTACCGTGCATACTGGCCTATAAGTTGGTTGCATTTTTTAAGCTTATAAATAAGAGAGGGATTGAGTCCGATTGACCCTGAAAGATACCAACCTTTTTTATAACTCACCTATAAGTCAGACTAAGAATTTTTGACCAAAGTTTAACTCCCCCCCCCCCCAAAAAAAAAACTTAGAGGCGAGTATATACGGTATATCTGATAAAATTTTGAATGGTCTGTAACATTTATGTGTCGATCTACATGTTCCAAACTTTTCTATATGGAAAAAGGATTTCATGACATACATATATAAATGCAATAGCTATAATATAGAGAATTTCTGTCTCACCCCTTTGGGGTTGTAACATCAGCTGGTGACCATATTTGTTTACATTTTAGTTTAATACCATGATCTTGCAGATCTGGAAATGAAAATATATCCCTCATTAAAAGCTACAAATCTTAACAAGTTAAACTGAATATATAGTATACACATTTATGAGTATACTGGAGCCTACAGAATTTAGTAAGGAAGGTCTCCAGGGTGTTGATACTACACATAAATGTAAAAATAAATAAAAATGCACTTTAGATCTCTTGCTTAATTCTTTTTTATTAATCTGCCAAATGTACGTACATGAAATGTTATAAATTGAAAATGAAAGTTAAGTAGAAATAAAATTTTAAAAATTTCAGCTGTTATTTCCATTTGGTATCATTTCACCTAATTGTTTAACCATCTTCTTCTTCCATCATATAATCATAGATATACCCCTTTTACATTTTTCACACATTGGCTTACATACAGACCGTTACAGCACTAACGGTTTACGATGAGCCCTAAGCAGATATCTGAATCAATGTCAGCATGTCACGCGTAATGAAATAAATATAAATATATTCTGAGCATTTGTAGACACTTCTTTCTTGTGTGTATATAAGCTAGTAAAACAACAACAGCTACAAAATAATACCATAGATTAAATAAACAACTTACCGCCTTACGTTTTTAAACACTGGCGAGCTTGCATCATCATGTCAACATCCATTATCACAAGTTGTACTTCGTTAGATTCGGACTATTTTCTCGCAGTTTATAATTAAATTTTATAAATGCCGTTAAAATTCATTTTATTTCGAAGTAAAAGTTATTTTATCAATAAAAGCAATTTAAATGAATTCCTTTAATTTTTAAAGATTTTTTGGAATTTTACTCTACAAAGAACGACTACTCCCTTCGAAAACTGGTTCCCGGCCCCGTATTCTAGACGCTAATGGACGAGTTTACCATGTTAAATCCCCGTAGACTTTGAATTTGCCGCCGTGTGTATACACTGGTTGACCTCGAGGGTTCGGATAAACGGAGGAAGGTTGGAAAAAAAAATGATCTATCAATCGGAACTGGGTTGAAGGCCAAGGTATTTATATATTTTGAGATATTATGCGAAAAGTGCTTACAGTAACTTGGTGGGACAGAGTATAACTGGTGTCACAAAATCGTGACGTAAATTCTCTAGTCTCTTCATTGAAAGTTTCATTCAAATTCGTTTGCTCTATAATTAGCGCAAGTGAAAAATAGCAGAGATACATCGCGATTAACGCAATGCCTGTAAAAATGACGAATATTTTTGCCCACGACTATGTATATTAAAATATACAGTAACCCCTATTTTTACAAATTTCGCCCTTTTGGCAACAGTCTGGGCCATAGTCCGAAAAATCTGACGTTTTCCTGGCTTTTTTACGTCAGATTTGTCGGACTGGGCCATTGAGCTGTGAGGGATATTTTTCGTGCCAGCACCAACTGACGCACGAGACCTCGGTCGTTCTGACCTACAAATGGTTCATTCTCGCAGATGTGCTGAGGGTATAGATATGTAAAACTAAATCTTTGCTTCCAAAAATGATACAACATACAAATCATTCAGATATTTAATGAAAGAAAAAAGAAACATAACATAAATCAAAACACTACCGCGGACAATTTTGTAAAGTCAAGTTTTTCATCAGATTCTGAAATGTCTGTATTTACGATGAACTTGTTGGATTTGGGACCTATCATACGAATCTCAAATGCCTGTGTTGCTGGAAACGATGCAGCAATTCTTTCCATGAGGAGGTCTTTCTGTGGAATGGCTTGAGAAAGTTTCTCTATCCATGTGATTCCTTTACAAATTCGTCGCCCGGGTGGCGCAGTGGTTAGTGCGCTGCTTGAGAATCGCGTAGGTGTTGATCCTTACGTCACGGGTTCAGATTGGATGAGACTTTATAAACCGAGGTCCTTTGTCACAGAGGTCGATAGCACGAAAAAGACCCATCACTGCAAAATGGCCGTAATTAGTTCTGGCTCCTTTGTCTTTATATGGATGAAAAATTCTCGACAGGAACAATATACGATCAATTTTTCACTAATTCCAGTTCAAGACTGAAAGCTTCCATTCATCATGCTAATAATGAAAATATATTCCCACGAATTCAAAGAAATGTTTTATCCTTTGTCGGCCACTGTTCCTTTGCTCTAAAGTCCTACTGGCCACTTTCTCGGGATTTATTCGATCATGTATCATGTACAACATTCCAGTTAAGAAAACATAAATGTTAATTTGTTTTACTTTGTTTCTTCATATAAAATGAAGCTATCTATGTTATGCAATGCCTTTCACATAACACTATTTAAAAATAAATAAGAGAAAAAGTGAGCAGGCTCAAATACCCCCCGCTCCCTCAAAACTCTTAGTGCTCCCGATTACCTGGTAACATGCACATCTACACATTTTGTCCTAAATATCTGCGAAGTTTGATGAAATTCTGTGCAGCGGATTATGAGAAGTTGCGCTGACAATCTGTTCATTTCTATATTCAAGGTATGGCCAAAAAGGTAAGTTGAAAAGTGCCGAAATTCCCAGAAAAATGAGAGGAATCAAAATGTCCTTGTATCGTGCCCATATACACGCTGTGTACTAAATATCTGCAAAGTTTGAGAAAATTCTGTGCAGCGGTTAAAGAGGATTCGGCTGACAATCTGTTCATCTCTATATTCAAGATAGGGTGTTGCTAAAACGCGGAACGGAAAACGGAACGGAACGGAAAACGGAATATATTATTTTGGATTAAATCACTTAAAATACACAAATTTTATCATAAACGATATATCTTGTACATATTCAACCCCCCACTATTAAATACAAGTTGATTTTGTCATGATAAGTCTCTTATTTACGAAAATCGCTAACACAGCAGTCACCTAAAATAGAATTTGAAAAAGGGGGGGGGGGGTGCGTGGGTAAACGAACTTGAAAAGTATTTGACAAGCAAAAACAAAAAGAGAAGACAATTGTTTGATTCAGGAGGGGGGATAAGTTCCAACTCCAACATCTTTCAGAACTATTTTTTTACATTAATTTACTACATTAATTACATTCACAAAAAGTGTGAGGATGTCAACTTGAACGAACATTTCCGTAGTAAAAAGGTTATGACTGGGGGAGCAAATATTTGATATCTAGATTGACCATGGAAAGAGGAATAAAATTTAAAAAAATATATTAAGATATTACGTGTAGGGCAAACCTTTACGGCAAGCTCGAATTAACATCTCTTATATATACACTGGTTGTTAAAAATGTTATTCAAAAGAGTCGCTTTCTATATATATAAATTCGATCTGGATAGACAAATTAAGTTGGAAAACTTTCATGTGGTAGATATAATGCAGAATCTTTGCATTCAATGAAGTTAAATTTTGTTTGTTTGCGGTACATATGTGTGTGTGTTGGGAAGGGGAGGGTATATGAGTGACCGCGTAAAAAATGAGTTTGTTTTCCCGCTCATCGGAAAGGTCTGAGAAGTTGTAGAAGGTCATCCTCACAATGACAAGGGTTTGTGATTTCTCGAACTCGGGAGTTCGAGAAATCACAAACCCTTGACATTGTGAGGATGGAAATAGGTCTACCCCCTTTTTTGTGTCCTAAATGTACATAAGATTTAATAAATCAATTTTAAATGTGGCTGTGTGCCCCTACCCAGACCCGAAACTGTCACTCCCCATTTCATTATTCGCGAATTCGACACTGCGTGCATAATCTGAATATCATAACCAGTTATTTTTGTATTTACAGACATTGGCATTTGAAACAAATTGAAATGGGGGGGGGGTCAGTAAGAAATTTCCAACATACAAAAAAAATTGACATGAAAAAAAAAACACAAAAAAACGGGGGTATATGTCCTTTGCCGAAACACAAAATTCCTATTTTGTGTGTGTGTTGGGGGGGTGGGGGGTCGAATTTCTTCCTGTTGAGACGGGGGGGGGGGGGGGCATCGCTTGTACACCAGTTCTGAACGGAGGGTGTGTATGACTCATGAATATATAACAGTTTACAATAAATTTTTATAAGAAATGAATTTTACACCAAGAATATTGCTCTTTTATCTGATTTATGTCGAATTAATGTTAATTGTTTGACTAAAATTTTCCGTTTTCCGTTCCGTTCCGCTTTCCGTTCCGTTTTCCGTTCCGCGTTTTAGCAACACCCATTCAAGATATGGCCAAAAATCTAATTTGAAAAGTGCGGAAATTCCAAGTTAAATACAGAAATCAAAATGTCCTGGTAAGGCCGGAATTAAAAATATCTTTGTTTCCCCTAACCCGACCCTAAATTCTCAAGTTGGGTCGGTAGGTAGATAAACAATTTTACTTTCTGACAGTAGCTTTGAAAATACATTCTAAAATTTAATGGAAAATTATATTTATAAATAAGAAAAGTACGAAAGAAAGCGATTGTGAACAAAATGCTAAGTATCATACATATGCCATTTAAAAGCAAAATTTACGATTAACTAATTCACAACTGTAATTTAGATGAACTTATGAAATATATCACGCCAGAGTACATTTATATAAATCGAATAAAAAAAAGTCTGTGTACTTTTTTGAGGGCCATGAGATATGCCGTGATTATAGAGCATTTTGCTTTGGAGTTAAGACGTAAGTTGCTAATTTTAAGTCGCAGGTTCAAATATAAATGAGGAACATTAAAAATGGTCCTTCAGAAGGGACCATAAAACTCATTCCAGTGTCGCAGATGCGGTGTTGTATGCTGGTTCAAAAAGATCCCCACTGCTTAATGATAAAAAAGTGCGTAGTACGTCTAAATTTGGAACAATGGGGAATGTTCAAATGTCGTCCCAACAAATCTTGAAGGGATCAAAAACAAAGAAACAACCAATCTTCAAGGCCCTAATTAAAGAAAATGCAGTGAAAGAATGATGTGTTCACTAGGTGGACCCCTCATCTGAGGCTGGCCTTTCCATGTATTACGTACCTGAAATTCAACAGACAGAATTCTTTGTTCGTTGTTTAACGTCCTTTCGAAAATTTATTCAAATTGTTTAAAGATTGATTGATTGTATGTTGTTTAACGTCCCTCTCGAGAATTTTTCACTCATATGGAGACGCCACCACTTGCCGGTGGAGGGCTACAAATTTTGTCCTATGCTCGGCACTCAGGGCCTTTGAGCAGTGAGGGATCTTTTTCGTGCCAGCACCTACTGCGACACGGGGCCTCGGTTAATACGGTCTCATCCGAAGGACCGGTCTCCACGTCCCGCAGTGGGATTCGAACCCGCGACGTAATGATTGACTCCTTACTTCGCGACTCTAGAGCAGACGCTCTAACCACTGCGCCACGCGGGCGACAATTGTGTAAAGAGTGAAGGATTCTAGTTTGCTAAAGGCATAAGATTGAGACATCGCCGTTGTTTTATGTAGAACTACTTCTCTGTAATCACATATGGGCGCTATTTTGTTTCCATCAAATGCTTGAAAATCACAGTTATGTCGGCCGTTCTGATAAAAACTTATTTTGATGAAATTGTATTTTATAAAACTTGGTTGACAATAAAAAAAAAATTTTGAATCATCTTATCTCAAAAATCTTTCCAGTCGGCGCGATTTAATTGGGTCGGTCGCGTTAGGGGAAACAAAGGTATTTTTTATTTTGGCCTAATATGCACATCGTTCTTGTCTACATCAAATAAAAACA